GTCACATCTAGTTGGTCCTGAGTGAAAATGGTTGTGCTTGGATATCCAGTTATCACCAGTAGACTTGTCACATCTAATTGGTCCTGAGTGAAAATGGTTGTGCTTGGATATCCAGTTATCACCAGTAGACTTGTCACATCTAGTTAGTCCTGAGTGAAAGTGGTTGTGCTTGGATATCCAGTATGAGCAACACAGTGGCCATCTTTAAAAAAAAATGTTATCTCTACAGTTGCTGAAACAAAACTATTAAAAGCCTTGGATGAGTTTGAATATAGCAAGAAACTGTACATTTTGATTGTTTCAGGCTCTAGATATGCAGTGTATTTGCCTTTTTAATGTAGATGATTTAGTTAAACATACTTTTAACTTGTGCAAAAGAATTCTGTTTTAAGCACCTAGTCTAAAGTTGTTAGCATATTGATTTTGCTAAAAGCACAGTCCATGTTGTATGATGGTGTGTTCGATCAGTATAGATTATGCTATTAGTTCTAGTTCTACATGTTCTATGCATGTTGGAATTTAGTACATGTACATGATTTCTATGACAACACTGAAATAGAGTCATATAATAAAACATGCTAAATTAAGCTTGGTCACTAAACCAATAGCACATTCAAAAAGACATGACTTACATATTGAAAATGAAAACTCGGTCTCATGTTTTCTGTTTTGTGTATTCAAAAAATACTACATAGAACTTTTTAAGAAACACAGTTTTGAACTAGGGTAGTACAGTACTCAGTTTATTAGATTCTTGTCATGAGATCAGACATTATCTTTATCTTTGGAAAAAAATTATGAAGCTATAGTCATAGAGAGTTCAGCAGATAGCTTAAATTGAATTCGCTTTTATAATGTTGCATAAACAATCTTAGAAAATGGGTGACAGTTGTGTAAGCCAGGTTTGAGATATCAGGCCCACCTGGGAATATTAACAAAACTTTTGTGGCTTTGGTCTGCATTGGGTAACCATCAGCAAGAGGGAGTATATTCTTGCTTTGGTTTCCAAGGAGGGAGTTTATTCTCGTTCCCTGCTCTCATTTTCTAGGAGGACGTCAGATTATATGTACATTATTTTTCTTCCTGATCAGACTTTATATATTCAGAAATTACATCAAGATGCAGCATATACTGGTATGTGATTTTGCATTATTACTCTTGGGTCACTGGGAAAATATGGAGATTTGCAGCTATGAACTATTACAATTGCTTTATTTATGTTTTTTAAATCTTTCATTTTAGGTCGGAATAAAAGATGACAACACACTGTATGCTCTGCGTGATGGAAAAATGTTGTTCTCTGCAGAGAAGCTTTCCCCATATCCAGACAGTCCCCTGTATGAGCGTGTGAAGAAAGGTGTTGTCATTTACAAAAGATTTATGCATATATACCCAACACCACTACATGGAAAATTCAGACTAGTGACAGAAGTATAGTTGTGTGTGAGTCAGCCTTGGCATATTGTGTAGACATTTTTGTAAATAAATAATGTATGCATTAGCACTGCCTCTCATTGTTTATTGCTAAGATTACTTGTAATAAATTAGAGCATCAAGTACTGGGTAATAAAGATACATGTTTTAAGACTTTAGCCTTAAATTAGGTAACAGAATGACATGAAACCAACAATTTTAGTAAAATCAACAAGTTATTTATTTCTCTATGATGCAAAGTGACAATTAAAGAGACATTATTTGTGAAATAAATCACAAGTAATCCTACATGTGTTATCACAATTCCAAAAGTATTGAATGTTCTGAATCAATTAAATAGTCTTAATAACTTGATGTATCTATCCAGAGTTTGTTTGAATGAGTTCACACAAATTTTGACATAATTTGTTAATCTGGGGGGTGGAGTGATCTTGTGAGAAATCTTCCCGAGACTTGGGGTAAATGTAAAAGTGTATGAAGGATGACTTGATTTAATTTTTGCATCATTTCGTCTGACAACCCTGAGATCACTTTCCCTCTAATTCATTGTATGAGATCGTTGGTAGCTGCTCTTCTGACATACAGGTGATGTGGACTGCCCATCTCAACTATGATTTCATAAGCAGAGCGTGGATGCCTGGAATGCCTGTTCATGTGAATACTCCAGTCTCTAGGACCTTGTCCTGCCATCTTATCCATAAAAATTTCCTCAGGCAGCCCATATGAAAATGGTTCAGCTTTTTGGCATGGTATCTGTACTGTCCAGGTATCACAAGCATACAGCAGGTTTGGCAATACAATGTCATTGTATACCTTAAGTTTGTTGACTGATACCTCTGCACTTTCATGCATTTGGTCTGTCAGAGGCCAAACATGCTTGACCAATTGTGGCCTTGGTTTCAAGAGGACAATTTGGTCATTTAATGTGATGGTAGACTCTACACAAGGCTTTCCTGGTTCGGGTTGGTTCATCATATCTGTCTTCTTGATACTGATTGTGAAACCAAAATTGTCACAAGCTGAATAGAAATGGTCTATGCTGTGTAGCATATCAGACTTAGATTTGGCATACAGGGTATAGCTATTAACATTATTTATCCATACTGCCCAATTTAATTGATTTTGTCAAAATGTCACAGTGCTTTATATGTTTATTGTATCATCACAATTGAACTTAAGGCTTAGTTTTTGAAACTGTTTAGTAGTTTGGATTCAGAAAAGTCGTATTTAGTTTTGTATACTTTTCATCTCATTAAATTCATTTACTAAAACAAAATACATAATCGAAGTTGTGATATTAAGAATTGTCAGAACGAGTTGCTGATAATTTTTTAGTTCACTACTTGTTAGTTTTAAAGTTGAGTACACAATTTATTTATATCCAATTTGTTATATTTATTTAGAATAACTGCATAGTTTATAGTATTCTTTACTGCATAGTTAATTGATTATATACTTTTTGGTCTGTGGGTAGGATGGCAAAACCATGACTATTTCATTAGGACTACTTTGAGGGGTTGTGGCTTTAGGACAGTGCCTCTGATGGCCTAGGATTTTTAGAGTTAAAATTATATGGTGGATGTAAATCTTAAAATTTGTATAAAAATTCCACTTTTTCCTCAAAAAAATTCTTTAAAACCATGTTATTTTGCAAACATATTAGTACTGTGTTGCTTTGATCCCACACATATTCCTTGTTATAGAAGAAAAGCTCTAAAATTATGGTTCAGCCCTAAGCTCTTGTTGACATGGCCTTTTATATAGTTTTATCATGCATGCTGTAATTATCTATCCACATCAGCAGGTCCGTTGCACGTTGCATTTTCATTTTGCCTTGAAAGCAAAATGGTTCTGTATATGAATGGAACACAAACAAAACCTGCAGTCCTTGGGACAGCTGAGTTTTCCCCTCCAAGTTGTTTTACTCCTTTTAAGACAATCCTTTGCTAATAGCATACAGCTAATTAGATATACTACTTAATAACAGGTTGTACACATTTGCGCTTTGACACATTTTGCTAAAAACAAGTGCCCCTGTATAAAAAATGAGTGCACAAATTTATGCAGAGTAGCAGAGTAAATTATATATATATATATATATATATATATATATATATATATATATATATATATATAGATATATAGTGTATATAGATGCAATAAACTGACGACGAACAGTACGAAACTAGTAACTAACTAGCCTAAGCGCTTTCTACTCTTAATGAGTCTTTTTCAAAGGCTCATTAAGAGTCGAAAGCGCTTAGGCTAGTTAGTTACTAGTTTCGTACTGTTCGTCGTCAGTTTATTGCATCTATTTTAATTAATCCCTGACAAACGTGATCCCTTGGTGGATCCAGTACGCTTGAGAGGGTTGTTATTCGCCATATGATTTGTATTCTTTATATATATATATATATATATATATATATATATATATATATATATATATATCGGGTCAAGATAGACTTAAATTTGAGGGAAAAGTGACTTCTTCTGTTCAAAACAGGGAGAAGTGGGAGCTAAATAGGGTTAAGTGAGACCAAAGCAAGAAATGTAATATATATATATATATATATATATATATATATATATATATATATATATATATATATATATATATATATTTGCATTATCTTATTTATGTGCTCCATTTCTCAGTATGCTTTTAACAGTTTTAAGCAATGCCTTATTTTCAAGTTGAAAATATGGGTTATATGTATATTATCAACCCATTTTGTACATGTTTAAAAATTATTCATACCCATTCTATTCATACTTGTAGTATATGAATGTTTGGATTGAGAGACAGGCAAATTGGCCATATGAGGTAAAAAGCACAGCAGTAGCTATACATTGTAATTAATTTTAACTGAAAGCAGAAACAAGATTAGAGTCTTGTAATTGCAAGTTGGTAAAAGTGCTTAATAAACAACCACTTAATTATTTTTATTTTATTTTTGGCAAATTTTGTGTAATATTGCAGTCAAAAAAGATTTATAGCATTCTTTGAAACAACCCCTAATACATGTACATAGGAATAAATGCACAATCGACTTCTAAGCATACTCTTCATCCTGATTTCTTTGTTCCCGATGAATCGAATGAAGTCAATATTTATCAACGCTGTAGTTTTGCCTCGTCTGACAACAGATTAAAGACAAAATCAGTGTTATGCTTGTAATTTCTGAGAAGATAAATCATTTTCCTATCAACCTAATAAAAGTATGGGTCATGTAAGTTTGCTAGGCCTGATAGTAGGCGAGTACCCGATGCCGACACCAAATGGTGTCGGCGAATTCCAGCTTATTGATAGGGAATGGACTCTGACCCTACACCACAACATAAAAAACAAATATCAAAACTTGGGGTGTCAAGAGTCAGAGGAAATCTCGTACTAGAGTAAGGCTCGTATGGGCTAATAGTCACGTTTTTCTTTCGCGTTCTGACCGGGCTAACCGTTTTACCCCCAATATGCTGACAGTCGTTTCAACGGTACCTACAGGCTTCCAACACAACTCCCCACCCGGCTTTCAAAAATTCTCACCTGGGTGGAATAGCAGTAAAAAGACCGCTCCGGTAGCCTAGTGGTTAGAGCGTAAGCCTCGGATGCGTTAGGGCGCGGTTTTCGAACCCCGGCCAAGTCATACCAAAGACTTATAGGTAGTAGCTGCCTCGCTAGGCGCAAAGCATTAAGAAGCTAGTGTTAGGACTCTTTGGCCTGGTGTCAGGATAATGTGACTGGGTGGGACATCATGCTACATGTCTGCAGCATGGTGCCCCAATGCTAGACTTCACTATAAGCTGTCGTACTGGAGAAGTCATAGCGATATGGCTGGAAACAAAATGTTAAACTACGTTAAAAATGTATATCACACACACACACACACACACACAGAGTAAAGAGAGACTAGAACCTCACTTTACTTATTTTAATTTTATTTATATTACAACGGTTACAATTTGTCATATCATATTTAATATATTAACCTATCTCTAATTGTAAACTTTATGCTGGTTGATTTTCCTTTGTGATTCCTTGCAATATATATATATATATATATATATATATATATATATATATATATATATATATATATATATATATATATATATATATGTGTGTGTGTGTGTGTGTGTGTGTGTGTGTGTGTGTGTGTGATGGTCTTCATACACCTGAATATCGCATAATCATTGTCGCTATGTACGTGTCTTTATCATCACTCCAACGTATGTTTTAAAGTCCAGAAAAAAACAAAACAGATCTATGATAGCATCTCGTCCGGAGTTTCCATACCTACGGCATTCTCTTATTGTCACGTGCGAATTTCTTCTGCCATGATATATTTCAAGAATATTCCATTATTGCATTATTTATACTAATGTACAAGAAGACGCGTTAATAGGCTCAGCATAATATTTATGTTAAATGGCCTACACAGGGAAAATAGTATGGCGATTTGAATCGACGTGAACTGTACGGTATTATGTTCTAGTTTATGGCGGTAAAAGGGTTACACTACACAAAAGCCCTTTGCAATCACGGGAGTAAGACATGATTTACGTGCTTTGGTTTTGTTGATGTAAGTTGATCAAGTCTGTGCAGTAGCTAAGTCACTGTATTATGTTTACCAGAGGAATGATTCAATTATATGAGATATCTACAGGTTTGTAAAGAACAATAAAGTTACAAATAGTGCTACACAGCTATGTATGGGTTGCTGATCATGGCACGCTTTTGGAGTAGCGACGCTAGAAATATTTCTAATGGTAATAAAGGACATTTTCAACATAAACAAGTCACAACAGTCGCCAAACATTGAGTTCGACTTTGTTTGAAAACTCTATTATGTTGTGTTTTCTATTGGTGTCTGTGTGTGTGTGTGTGTGTGTGTGTGTGTGTGTGTGTGTGTGTGTGTGGTCTTATATTAATAATTCCCGCATGATTCATTCGATAAGGTATTATAGTGGAGTTTTATTTTTTAAGAAAAAGTTGCGAAAAAGATTTCTGATCAATTTCTAAGGTACATGAACATTTTTAAGATAGTTTCCATCAAAAATTAATTTATCAGATTATACGACCTGTACTGTATTTTGAAAACATCGCATGATTTTGCCAATAATAAACGAAAATGCCATTAAAAACCAACCACATTAACAACTGTATATATCGTCCCAATTCCACGGAATGATAGAACCAATAGTGTCTTTAAAGCGACGTTAAAATCTAATGAACCAGATGTATCTATCACATTATTTATTCGGCACAAAATAGCAAGCGATCCGTTTAGAGTGCTTTTGAAAACCAACCAATTATATATATATATATATATATATATATATATATATATATATATATATATATATATATATATATATATATATATATATATATATATATCCTAATGAATGTAGATATGGTACGTTCCTGGAACTAACAATGTTTCTAATATAAAAGTTGGCAAAAGCTGTTAAAGCTCTGTGTTCTGAGAGGAAAGGGATACTACTAACGGAAGCTAGTGATAAAAATTATGGGATGTACTGCACAAATCAGCTGATTTCTTTTATATTCTTCTGCCCTTGCAACTGAAATTACCAATTTTCTCAGCACGAGTCTTCACTTTTTGGAAAGTGAATCAGTGATTTTAGCATAAAAGCTTTAGAGCACTCCCTCTGTCAACTCCTTCACCAAACCCGTTTCTCATGCAACAAATTCTAAGGTTCTTCCCCAGTTAATTCATCGGCAGCAAAGCACATATTTACCGATATGACTGCTCTTCCCGTCTGCTGCTATGTTGCCACACAGTGACTAAGGTGCGAAACATTTGTAGAACTTATCAGAATGTGTAAAAAGGTCAGCACCTACTCCTTTTATGAGATACAAATCTGCACTAATCTAGCGCCACAAAATTTCAACGACAGGATCAAACATTAGCGGGAAAAAGAATTAGTTAAATGAATCCAGGTCAGAGGACCGATTGATTTGGTTTTACAGCTAAACCAATTGTTATCTCAGCCAGTAATCAAGGGTACATTTATTTTTCTGCAAACTGAGATGGAACTGTTTACCTGTTTAATAGTCAGTCAGATTAACGCTTTCAAACTGCTCGGTTCTCCATCCAGAAAAGGAACACATTCTCACGTGATTACTTGGTACCAGATGCGGAGCTTGGTTACAGATATTTATGGTAGGATATTTTATTCATTTTTCTCTTGAAATGAGAGGAAGACAAATTAGACAAATTATACAAATGAGAAAAATGAGACAAGTAAGAAACGTTAGACAAATAAGAAAAATGAGACAAATTATACAAATAAGACAAATGAGACAAATTATTAAAATAAGACAAATAAAACAAAATAAGAAATGATACAAATAAGAAAAATGAAACAAATAAATGTAGTAAATGAACTTTTAAAAATAGAAGATATCGCTTAGTAAAAGAAATGTCATATATAACAGTTAATTTTTCTTAATACTTGTATCTAGAAAATGAAAAATCGAGCTATAAGCTATTCTAATTTCTTTTCTGTTTTAAAATCATAAAGATTTCGTTGCAGTTCACAGTTTTATATCGTTTACACAGTTAACTCTTAGGGCAAGGATAGAAAAACACGAATATTATGAGCTTAATGTTACAGATTGCTTTCCTTCATAATAAAAATGCAAAGCAAGATTGCCCTTAAAATTTATTATAATTCTATCGTTCATCTTTTTAAAATGTAATTTGATTCTGTCGTAATTCCTTTAAAATTTGTTATAATCCCGTCGTTCTTTCAAAATATATTACAATCTTGCCGTTCATTCTTTTAAAATGCATTTTAATCCTGTCGTACATTCCTTTAAAATATATTATAATCCTGCCGTTTATTTTTAATACAGCATATACTTCAAGGCGTGAACTTGATTGAAAAAATCCTGTCAGAAATAAATAATATATCCCTACCGATGTTTGTACGTTAATAAAATTTAAAGTCAATATTCATTGAAATTAAAGAAAAAAATCACGCGAACGTCTTAGCATTGAAAATGCATTTTTTAGATTTTGCACCTTAAATCCAATTAAATATGTATATTTCCTCATGACCAATAATAATAATAATAATAATAATAATAATAATAATAATAATAATAATAATAATAATAATAATAATAATAATAAATCAAGATATTCAGTTGCTCTCTCTCTCTCTCTCTCTCTCTCTCTCTCTCTCTCTCTCTCTCTCTCTCTCTCTCTCTCTCTCTCTCTCTCTCTCTCCAAACTTCTTCGCTATGAAACTTGACAACTGACAGCCTTTACCATTAAGAAAAAAAATCTACTTCCAATTTATAATTTCATAATTTGAAAAGTGCACAATGTTTAATCAAACGCATTTCTTCCGATGAAGTCCACGTTTGAAGTAGATATGGCAAATTACGGTTCATGTCAGTAGGCTTGATCCAGCAAGGGATCGCGTGTGTCTGGGATTGATTAAATATATTTTTAAAAAGCGACAACCAGCAGTACAGAAGTATTACATCATTGAACTACCATGGACACAGGTCAGCATATAAAAATGATAGTTTGAACAGGATGTATATTTTACACTCTTACTTTCCTATTAAATCAGTAATTTTAATTGCAATACATCCAAATTTTCATCGCTGAATTACACGTATAACAGGGAGAAAAGCCAACAATTCTTCCCACAGATCTACTACACATGTGTGATTGGAAAAGTAGAAAATAATTTTGTCATAGAATTAATTGTACACGTGTAAGTGGAACAGTAGAAAGTAATTTTGTCATAGAACTACCTCTACATATCTTCTGCTCAACATTAATCTGATAATTGAAGTAAATATGTTTCTGTCTTGTTATATTATTACAAATGTAGATTGTTCTCATGCTGACTAACGCAGGGTATTGAAAAGGTTATGTAAGCCGCAATATGCAACACAAGAACAACGCCCGTGTTTCATTTCAATAACCGAAACGCTTGCCCTATTAAAATAATGTTTCTTTCTTCACTTTCCTTAAGAGTGTTTCGTGCTATTTATATTTTCTTGAAGTACCAACAAAAACTCTTTATCCACAGATGTGCATTAAAAAAAAATAGCTGTATTAATAAACAAGTGTCAGTGAAGTACCATTTCTAACATGAAAACAAGAGAGGCAAGACAATTTCCAGCCATCATTCCCATGATACTGTCTATGCATGATCATAGACCACACCAATACCGTGTATCTTATGAATGACTGTTATATGTCGGATAGTAATTTTAATGGTATGTCATTTTTAACATTCAAAAGAAGTTTTGTTTAAGGAAATTGTACCATGGAGAAAAGATTTTTGATTCCCACCTCCCATTTGAGGACCATTTTCTACTGAAATGTTTGGGTGTTTATGTATTTATATATTTTTCTCATTTCTGCTAATCGTCGTCATTGTCAAATCATCTGGCAACATTCATTAGTAATGTACATAATATTCCACACTTTGAGTGTTCTTTTCTTAAACTCATTTCTCAAAACGTAGCTACAAGGTAGCTTTTTGTCACGTATTATGCTAGACATCAGTTTATCTTACATACAGAGAGGTGTTGGCACAACGAAGAGAATGATCACCTTCCTATGAATCAAAGAACCAAACACTGTTAAGGAAG